CGTGAGGAAGGAAAGTAAAAGGGGCGCTTGAAGGCTTAACGAGCCAGGTGGGAGAGGCTTCGGGGAAGCGGCAGCATTAAAGGTTTCTCTTTCCTTTTGCAGTGTGTTTGTTTGTCATCACACAAGTGAGTGTTAGGCTCCGCGGGTCTCCCCACCATCTCCCAGCTGAGGCGATATATTTTTTCTTCTTTCTCATTTAAAAAGCTTGTCGCGAGTCCAGGGAAGCGAGCGAGGTTCCTCATTCTGCCCGCCTGTGAATCTCATGACCGCCAGAAAAAGAAGGGGGGACTGGGCGGCGCCCCTTTAATAAAAAAAAAGCCTACCTCAGTTCCCCTCAGATTAAAGAAACTAAGCAAGCGGCAGGACTAAACAGCAGGAAGAATGCCTCTAGCCCTCCGCCCGAGTCCCCACGAGCCGTTGAGCAAAGCGAACGGGGGGAAGAAGACGACGGCTCTCCCCAACCCAGGTCCTCTCCTCACCTGGCAGAAAGCGCCTCTCCATCCGCGACCCCGCTAACCGGCTCTACCAGCAAGAGGCATGGGAGAAGGATAGGGCCCTTAACCAATCGACAGCCGGCGTACCTCGTCACAATGGGGGCCGGATTTCTTGCCAGGAAACGCGAGGATTGGACAACGGTGGAGTCTCGGGTTTTTTTTTCCGGGAATAAAAGTGAGCATAGAGCGAAGTTCGGGCGGCATCATAGATCAAGAGTAGTGAGAGTTATTGACTCGCCGGTCGCGCGGCTAAGGCGCAGGAGGAAATAGGCAAAGTAGGTGAAGAGTTCAAGAGTGAAAACTCCTTGAAAGTCATAGCGCTCGTTTCGATCTTACCCATTTCTAGGCTGCGTCGACAAGTTTCGGGCTCCATTAACAGAAGACTAGAATCAAGATCACCTGAAGTGTTGATGCCACTTTATAATGCCATGACAAGACCACACTTGGAATATTGCATCGAGTTTTGGTCACGGACTGGAGCCTAAAACATAAAGAACGGTTGCTAGAATTGGATATGTCTAGTTTAATGAAAAGAAGGACTAGGTGTGACATGATAGCAGTGATCCAATATCTTAGAGGTTGCCACAAAGAAGAGGAAGTCAAGCTATTCTCCAAAGCATCTGAGGGCAGGACAAAAAGCAATGAATGGAAATTAAACAAAGCAACCTAGAACTAAGAAATTTCCTGACAGAACCATTAATCAGTGGAACAACTTGCCTCCTGAAGTTGTGAATGCATTGGGAGTTTTTAAGAAGAGATTGGGCAACCATTTGTCTGAAATGGTGTAGGGTTTCCTGCCTAAGGAGTGGGTTGGACTAGAAGACCTCCAAACACCATTCTAACTTATTGTGTTCTGTTCTGAATCATTTTTATTTGGAGATGAGTCCCAAATAACTTAATAGGAATTTTTTTCCCCCAGTTAAATGTGTGTAAGTTCACAGCTGCAAAACGCAGTTAACTAGCAAATGCACTTCTAACTTCATTGCGATTTTCATTTTGCTAGATTCTTCTACAGTATTCATACAAAGCCAGAATTGATTCAACAATTTCTTTCGCAGTGTAAATTTAGATAGGTTTTGAGATACTTGAAAACAGAAAGAAGAATTATATTCTCTCCCCATCACTATTCCTACCAGGAAGATACGTTGCCCCACTTGGGAGGCAAAATTGAATCTTCAGAAGCAATAGCTTTGTTAGCCCTGTCCTCCATTAATTTATCCAATGTCCAATACATATTTTTATATTGTTTTATAATATAAAACATGTTTTAATGCCCTTGTAAGTGGTCCAGAATTGCTCTGGATAATATAAGGGTGACATATAAATGTAATAAATAAATAATGATTATAGGTGCTGATAATTACAGCAGACTCACAATTCATGTTTTACGTTTTTGTTTCAAAACTTTCCAATCAGCTTCACTGGTTCCCAGTCCTAGTGTTTGAGAGAGGGAACACAGCGTCTTCATTTACTGCATGCATTTTATATAATTTGCTTCCCTGTTTGCCTTTTTTCCAAGGCAGAGCTTTCAAATACCTGGTTGTCATAAGATCTTTCAGCCCACAATCATTTTATTTGCCCTCTTCTGTTCTTCTTTCCATCTGTTACTATATTCTTTTTAAAAATGTGGTAATAGAATTTTTTTTATTGGCCAAGTGTGATCGGACACACAAGGCATTTGTCCTGATGCATAAACTCTCAGTGTACTTACAAATAACAAAGTAATATAATCATAAGATATCAATAGGAGAAGGTAACAAGAAAGACAATGAGAAAGATAATAATGCAACCCTACTACATGGGTAAATATCCTTAGACATAAGATAGTGCTGTGGGGATTCGGTGTTCAGCAGTGATGGCACGAGAGAGAAAACAGCCCCTTGTCTGGTGGTTTTAGCATACAATCCCCTATAGTGGCATCCTGAGAGGAGTTCAAGCAGTTTATGTCCAGTTGTGATTACAACTTACATAGTGCTCTATATCAGTGTTTTTCAACCTTGTCAACTTGAAGTCCACAGGACTTCAAGTTGACAAGGTTGAGAAACACTGCTCTATATGCATCACATTTTTCCAAAAAGATGTTATTTTTCTATTAATCCCTAACTGCATGTATAATTTTTGTGTGTGTACTCTTCAATTGGTCGTTCATAGTGTCCTGCCGTTTTCTTGGTAGTGTTTATATACTGTTATTTTTATAACTCAAGGCAGCAAATATAGCTAATACACCTTCCTTCTATTTTCCCCACAACCACCACCCTATGAGGTGGATTGGGCTGACTGAGTGACTGGCCCGAGTCATCAAGCCTACAGCGGGACTAGAATTCACCATCTCATTTCTAGCCTGATCCCTTTAACTCAGGGGTGTCAAACTCACATCATCATGGTAGCGTCATGTGACATATCAGGACTTCCCCCCCTTCGCTAAACAACATAGGTGTGGCCAGCGCGTGATGCATCTGGCCTGCGGACCTGGAGTTTGACAGCTCTGCCTTAACCAGTAGAGAAAACTGGTTTTGCAGAAGCAAGCTGCTGCCTTTCTCCTAGGGCAAAAAGAGACAGGCCCAAAGTTACCCAATTGGTATCATGACTAAGAATTCATACAGTATTTAAATTCACAGACTCAGTTTCTAGCCCGGTATTTAACCACTACATCAAACTGATTCTTATGTACACTTTATTATACTTATGTGAATTGTATTCCATTTTGCCATTTGCTTAAGGATTCTCACAGTTCAGAGAAAGCCTACCAGAGCTCTTCACAATCTCTCTGGTGTTTTACTACCCTTAATCTAACAATTGGCAAAGTTAGCCAGCTCATTGCTTATTTCTAGTCAAGATCCTTTTATGAGTTGGCTAGAGATCTTGACTAGAGATAGTTAAAAAGTACTGATCACAACAAAGATCTTTGAGGAACTTCACTTCCTCATTACATTGTGAAAACTGCCTACAGTTAGTCCGTATTTAGTAGCAAGAACTGTGACCAATAAATCAGCCATTAAGTGTAGCAGTTGCTAAGTACTTATGATCTTTGGTTTTCCTTTGCTTATAGACCTGTGAAGGATATAAATGCAAACACTGGTTGTAAAGTTACTTTTTCATCACGGTTATGTACTGCAAACTTACTAAAAAGGACAATCTGTATTTGTTCTTATTCTTGCTATCTGCTCTTTAGCCATTGGCAAGCTTCTTACACTTAACACTGCCAAAATGCGTGCTCCTTTTTGTCATATTAGACAAAATGTTTTTGTCTTATAAGAGCAAACTTTCACTTTCCTGAAGAAAGCCTTATTTTTACATCCTTGTGAATACCACTGGAAAGCTGGTTGATCCTTTATGTTGTGGAATATGTTCTACTTGAACATCAGATAACATGGTTTTAAATAACCTTCAAATATTTGAAGATATTTGGGCCAATAGACTTTTCATACTTTTTTCCAGCACTTAATGCATTTTTGAGAAATTTATAATTCTAAACCAAATTTATCCTTCTAACACAATTAAATCTGGATCCTGCTGGCAGATTACCACTTGTATATCTGCTAAATTCAATGCCATTACCAGATAATCCATGACCAATCAGAGATATTTCCTTACCAGATTCCGCAATGCCTGCTTTAGCAGGGGTGGAGCTTGTGATGCAATGCAAAAATTCTTAAATATTATGGAAATATTCAGAGATCTTTCTGCCTTGAAAGTAGTCCATATTAAACTATATGGCACAGGAAATATTTTATGACATTTTTTATGTTGTAATGTTACACATATTCTATGTTAGCCTGCTTGAGGTGCCTCGGTTTAAAAATTCTTTTCTTACAATGTACCATTTATCCAAGGTTTCACACAAACAGGACAATTTTAGTAGTACACTAGACAACCAGTGAACATTCGACCATCGTTTCTGAGATATTTCCTTAGCAGATTCCTCAAAGCCTTCAAAAATGGCAGAGCTTCTAATATAATGGAAAAGTTCTTAAACAAGTTCTTAAAACAAATAATTGAGAGATGCATCTGCCTTGAAAATAGCCCACGTTGAACTGTATAGCATAGTCAAACATCAGAAGGTGACACAGGAAAAGTTTTATGACTTTTTGTATTATGTCATAAAATGCTTTATAATATTTGACATATTTCAATTCCCCAGGAGTCACAGGTCCCAAATTTTCAATGCATTATGTAAGTTAGCTCCTTATCTAAATATTGTTGACAAAAGAATCTCAACCAAAATACGATTGTTAATCAACATTTATTTGTAGTTTTGCAATTCAGTTCAGTTCTTCAGTTTGAATAAGAGATTGTTCCAATATTTAATAGGACCAAAAAAAAAACCCTTTGGTATGTCTTATGAATCTTATTTAAAGTTCATTGAGTATGAAATTAAATGACTAAATTCTTGATCTTATTTCAAAATAAGAGATATCCACTTTAAAACAATGGTTTTTATGTCATTTCTACCATGTTCCATTTCAGCTTCTGTTTGCTTTGCTTCTGCCTCGGACTTATTTTTCATCTGGGTTTCAAAGTTGTCTTGTACACGTGCAATCTCTTTACCTGCATTAAAATGGACCATCTGTCTGCTAAGAATAGGAACAACTAAATTGAAATCATTAATTCTTTTATTTAATATCTTAATGTTTTCCCTAAATTCTTCACAAACTTCCTTCCATTGCTTCTCATTTTGGACAGTCATTGGATCACCTAACTTATTCCTAGAAGCTATTATATTCTTCCTTAACTTTTCAATTGTTTCCCGTATTTCTTTCTGTACAAGTATCCATTCTGGTTGGTATCCATTATCTATCAGGATCCTATTCAGATTGTGTGTCATAGGATCAATGTGTGGACAGTCTGAAAATTTTTGCAATGGCTTTCCTTTACCAGTTAGGTTATCAAAGTCTCCTTTTGCCATAGATTCTTGAATGAGGTCTTCAACCAAGCGTTCAATTGCTTGGGTTATTTTTATTTTTTTACTTTGCTTTACATCTTTAGCTAGCATAACATCTCCCATAGCTAGCTGTCTCTCCATTTGTTGCTGTCGATATTCCATGATTTGCTCAGAAGCTCTATCAACTCTGAACTGTATATACTGCCTTT